AAGAGCCTTTGAGTTTTCAGTAAAACCATAGCACCAACCTTTAAAAGGTATAATCTAATTCCCCACTCCTCAGTTGTGGAAAGAAGGTTATGTTTTGTTTTGAAAAGGTTTATTTATTTTACTTATGTGTATATGTATAGGTGTTTTGTCTACACATATGTATGTGTGTTACATAAATCCACTACCTACCAGGACTAGAAGAGGGCATTGGATCCTTGGAACTGGGGTTATTGCATGTTGTAGCAGCCAAGTGGGTGTTGGGAATAAAACCAGGGTCCTCTGGGGCTAGTAGAACCATCTCTCCAGCCTCCCAAACAGGGTTTTGCTTAAGGTTTGTGAGGCTTCAGGAACATGATTCCTGGACCCAATTATATAAACATTTTTTTTTTGATTTTTCGAGACAGGGTTTCTCTGTGTAGTTTTGGAGGCTGTCCTGGCACTCGCTCTGTAGACCGGGCTGGCCTCGAACTCACAGAGATCCGCCTGCCTCTGCCTCCCGAGTGCTGGGATTAAAGGCGTGTGCCACCAACGCCCGGCTATATAAACATTTTAATTAAAATGTATTGCATTATTATACATGTCACATGAGGCAACCAAAGAAAAATAGATATTAAAATTAAACTGTTTTTGCTTCATTGCACCATTAACAACAACAAAATACATAAAATTGGTGAAAGTATTTGCAAACCATATATCAGACAAGTACCAAGACCACATAAAGAACATTCACAGGAATTGGGGATGTGATTCAGTGAGCAGAGTGCTTGCCTAGCCTAGCATGCTTGAGGTCCTGAGTGTGAGCCCCAGCTCTGCATAATCCCAGCACTTAGGAGGCAAAAGTTCAAGTTCATCCTCAAACATAGTAATTTCAAAGTCAGTCTTAGATACATGAAAGCCTATCTCACACAATTATAAAAAGGATAAATGAGGGGGCTGGAGAGATGGCTCAGTGGTTAAGAGCACTGGCTGTTCTTCCAAAGGTCCTGAGTTCAATTCCCAGCAACCACACGGTGGCTCACAACCATCTGTAATGAGATCTGGTGCCCTCTTCTGGTGTGCAGGCTTAAATGCAGGGAGAACACTGTATACATAATAAATAAATATATCTTTTAGAAAATGATAAATGAGCTGGACGGTAGTGGTGTATACCTTTAATCTCAGCACTTGGGAGCCAGAGGCAGGTGGATCTCAGTGAGTTCAAGGCAAGCCTGGTCTACAAATTGAGTTCCAGGTCAGCCAGGACTACATAGAGACACCTTGTCTTGAAAAAAAAAAAGAGGGGGGGTAAATGAACTGCTATTAAATTGGGAAAACGATTTGATAAAGAGATACTCAACATAATTAGTTATTAGCAGCTGGGCAGTGGTGGCACGAATCTTTAGTCCCAGCACTCGGGAGGCAGAGGCAGGAGAATCTCTGTGAGTTCAAGGCCAGGTTGTTCTACAGAGTTCTAGGACTGGCTTCATAGCTACTGGGAAACTCTCAAAAAAATAATCATTAGCAAGACAAGTCATAGTAAGATATCAGCTCATAAACCAGATGTTGTGGTACTCGCCTTTAAACCCAGCAATTGGGGCTGGAGAGATTGCTCAGAGGTTAAGAACACTGACTGTTCTTCCAAAGGTTCTGAGTTCAATTCCCAGCAACCACATGGTGGCTCACAACCATCTGTAATGAGATCTGGTGCCCTCTTCTGGCCTGCAGACATGCAGACAGAATACTGTACGCATAATAAATAAACCCAGCAATTGGGAGGTACAGGCAGGTGGATCTCTGAGTCCTGTCTTGAAAAACCAAAAAGAAAAAAAATGATATCAATCCATATCTTGGCTTCACCACTTTCTTCCCCAAAATATCACAAGAATGATCTCTAGCCAACATATTAAAATTCTCAGAAACCTCTTGAGTCATCCCCCACAGCTAATTAAATCACACTCAGCACCACTGTCTCCCATGCTCCTACTAGTGTGGCCCATCAAGCAGTGCTTAAAGTATTCCACTGCTTTCCTAACCCAAAGTACCAAAGTCCAAACAAACACATGGTCAGGCCTATCACAGCAACACCCCCAGTCCCTGGTACCAACTTCTGTCTTAGTTAGGGTTTCTATTGCTGTGAAGAGACACCATGACCACGGCAACTCTTTTTTCTGGTTTTTGGAGACAGGATTTCTCTATGTAACTCTGGCTGTCCTGGAACCAGGCTGGCCTCAAACTCACAGAGATCCACCTGCCTCTGCCTCCCGAGTGCTGGGATGAAAGGCATGTACCACCACCATGACCAAGGCAATTCTTATAAAGATAACATAATTGGGGTGGCTTGTTAGAGTTTCAGAGATTCAGTACATTATCATCATGATAGGGAGCATGGCAGCGTGCCAGCAGATCTGATGATGGAGTAGTAACTGAGAGTTCTACATCTTGCAGGCAATAGAAAATCGGCTGAGTCACTGGATGGTATCTTGAGCATAAGAAACCTTAAAACCCACCTGCACAGTGACACACTTCTTCCAACAAAGCCACACTGCCTAATAGTGCCTCTCTCTATGAGATTATGGGGGGTCAATTACATTCAAACTACCACATATCTGCTAAAATATCAATAAATCAAAACATTTGGCAAAAAAAATGTTGGCAATGATTAGAGAAATTGAAACTTTCATGTACTGCTGGTGAGAAATTAAAGTGGTTTTCCCTTTCAGATAAATAAACATAAACAGTAAAGTTATGATCTAGCAATTGAACTTTCCATTGGCCTAGTACTTTTTGTGATACTATAGCAAAATACTCAGCTGAATGAATAACTTTATGAGGAAAAGATGTTTATTTACTGCACAGCTGTTAAAGGGCTCACATCTGGTGATAGTTTTCTGTAGCAGCATTGTTCATAATACTGTAGTCATCAGGAAGTAGAAAGAACCCAAAGGTTCATCAACAGGTAGATAGCTGTGGGGCATGGTGGTACGCACCTTTAATTCCAGCAAAACAAAACATATATCCATATGCTAATTATATTAGTATAGATACTAGTTAGCATACATTAATATACTACTGTTGGCTATTTTAAGTCAGCTTGACACAAACGAATCATTTTGGAAGAGGGAACTCCTATTAAGAAAATCTGCCACTACCTTGGCCTACGGGCAAGCCTGTGGTGCATTTTCTTGATGGATGACTGATATAGAAGGGTCCAGTCAACTGCGGCTCCCCGCCTTCCCATATTCCCCCCTCCTGTCACCTGTGGATGAGAATGTAAAGCTTTCAACTACTGCTCCAGCGCCATGCCTGTCTGCTTCCTGCCATGACCATGGACTAACGGCAATCAAACAGTATCTAAGACACTAAATTAACCTTGAACTCATTATGAAGCCAAGGTTTGAGATTACCACCACACTTGGCCTTCAACCTTTTTTATGGCTAAATAATATTTCATTGTATAGTTACACCACATTCTGTTTGTCTATTCACCTGGGTTTTATTTTTTGTTTGTTTGCTTATTTGTTTTTTAAGACAGAGTTTTTCTGCATAGTCTCAGCTGTCCTGAAACTCACTCTAAAACTCACTTAGTAGACCAGGCTGGCCAGGAACTCACAGAGATCCGCCTCCTCTGCCTCCTGAGTGCTGGGATTAAAGCCCTGTGTCATCATGCCTGGCCTGAAATGTGCATTTTTGAAAGATGTATTGATTCATTCTAGCGCAATGTTTTAAATAGGCCGTTTGGAGCAGGTCTCAAAAGCATCCAGAAGTAGGGTTTGGTGGTGCATGCCTTATTAGCCCAGTACTGTGAAGGTGGATTGAAGGCTAATCTGAGTTGAATTTGTGACCAGCCTGAGCTACATATACTTAGGGACAAAAAAGTTTTGTTAGTTTTTCTTTCTTTGTTATGGGGTTTGTGACACCTAGGAAAAGACCATAGACTGAATCCAATTATAATGAAAAGATTAATTGCTATTAGGATGAACAATCTCAGAGCTAAATTTGAGATTGCTAAAATGGGAAAAGGGGAAAACCACATGGAGACCTTCAGTGCCTATGCAAGTAAATAAAAACTGTTGTGCTCTGCCAAGTTAAGTGACTAAGGCAACTCAAAACAATCTTTGGATGTCTGCTTAAGCAAATTACAGAAGCAAAAAAAAAGCAATCATAACAAGTAGATAGTCACAGCAGTACTTGTTTGGATGGGGTCACTTATCTTTCAGGGACTGGGGTCAGAGACAAATGACAGGTGGTCACCAGGATGGATGCCTAGCATAAAACGGAGCTTCTCTAGACATAACAGTTTAATTTAAAATTTTTTCGTTCATTTTGATAAATTTTTCCCAACAGGAAACGTCCTGCTGGGCAAGAACTGGTGTGTTCCGGCTAGGGACACGCCTTAAAGAAAGCGCCTGCTCTTTGACCTCCATTGGCCAGGTCTCCGAAGAGCTGGTTAGGTGTGCAAGACCAGTCTTGGCTGCTCTGTTAACACCTGACTTGCAGGGTCCTTGGTAACTATAAAGAACCACCCACTTCCATGCAGGTGAATAGGAAAACGATCGTCATGGCCCGTTTGCTTGGGGCTCCAGGACCAGCACGTGACCTCTAAGCAGGGGTCCTTGGGTTCCTGTAGAATGGCTGAACCTTCAAAGGTGCTCTGAAGCTTAAGCTCCACTATATTCCCTGTTAAAAGGTCCCAGGGAGGAGTTTTCCCTCTTTACTATTCCACGAGAAGCCTATTGGCGCTGTGGTTGTTAGTGTCATGAGGTCTCCCTTGGCAGCGGTCTCGGGACTGACACACCCCACTTCACCGTCCCTACTGATGGGGCGTCAGACAGACATTCCTCCTTCTTAGGGGAAGAAGGCGGAGGCCTGTGGCTCCGGTGTCGGTTGGTGGCCATAGTCTTGACAAATACATTAGCCGATGACGCTGACGTAAGCAGCTGCTTATGAACGTAAGCCAATGGAAAGGCAGAAGCGCAGCCAAAGACCAATGAGGACGTGCCTGGGCGGGTTGGGGGCGGGGATTCCTGGGGGGGGGGGAACGGGTGTGGGTAGAGCTCCGGAGCCAACCCGGGGAGACTCAGAGCACATCCGGTTTTGGCAGAGCTGGGGAGCTCCTGAGTGGTGGACTGAGAAGGTACGTGCGAAGCTAGGACGAGGCAAACCGGGAGCGAGGGGTGCTGAGGGAGCGGGCGCGGGAGTGGGTAGTGGCTTCCGTTTTCGGACGGCTCGTTCTCTCGGAACCAGGCCGGCTCGGCGTCGAGATCGGAGCTGGGCCGGGAAGGACTCGGAGAACTAGTGCCGCGCATGCGCGGCAGCGCCGGCGGGGGCGGGGCGGGGGCGAGTCTGCGGGGTCTCCCGGGCCTTTAGGCCAGGTTTTGTGGCGAAGGCCCGTCGATTTGCGTCGGTTTCAGTTTCCACCCCCTCTTCCCCTCAGCCGAGTTCAGGGCTTGAATTCGAGTCCGGTCCCCCGCCACTGACTCGTAGGTAAAAACGAAAGGGAAAGCTGTATTGTTTGTGATCACTCCACCCCACCCAGCTTTCGCGGCTTGCCTGCGCCTTCTCGGGTTCCCTCCGCCTGACCTGGGTGAGCCGCCGGGGTCCGGGACTCGAGTTAGGCCTGGTCGGGCGGACTGCCCTGTCACGGCGGGCCGGGTGATGTCACACTTGTCTGTGACACGCGAGATTCCTTAGTTACTTGGAAGCCAACGGTAGAGTTTGGAGGTGAGAAGACCCGGGCTTGGCCTGGTTTCCCAGCCCCACGTCGCAGCCCCTCTGTGAGCTGATAGATTACCTGTGGACAGGAGAGGTGGCCTTGATTGCTTGGGGCTGAACCCTGTGCAAGTCCCAAAGTCGGCTCCGGAAGGGCAGCGATGGGCGGTTTTTCCCTTGGACCGACTTTCTGAACATATGATAAGTAGGTTTGGGCATTTCTTTTTTTTTTTTTTTTTTAACCAACAAGGACAAGCTATCTCAGGCCAGACCAGGTTGCATTTCCTGTCCAATCAGGCTTCTGTTGACCAAACCACAACAAAACCACTTTGAACTTGAGACTCTCCAGTTACACAAACACTTGTGAATGTGTAACACTTCAGTAGAGCTGACTGCCTGAAACACAAGGAACTTAAGGTTAAAGGTCAATGGCAGAATTTCTAGTTACTTATTGATATTTATGTATAATTTGTCCTGGGACTGTATGAGTAGTTTAAGAGATAGGGGTCAGGAAAGATTTCCCTGGATTGCATAATCACGTTTTCATGGCTTCTGTGAACACTGAGGTCTGTAATTGTTACATTTATTTTCTTCGGTGTTTCTTCATTGTCTAAAGTTGTTCCGGTTCTAGCTTGGAGAGTAAGTTGACATTTAGAGTCTCTTCAATTTTCCTCCAGTAGAGAATTGAGTCCTTGAGAAATACCGTCTGTAACTTGGATCTTCCTTTATTCCATCATGTAGAAATAAGGTTTTACAACCTTGTTCTTTCCCTGTTGATCTGAACGAAAAAGCCTGGCTTTCCTAATGATTAGGAAAAGGAAAAATTAATTAGAATATTTAGCATTTCCAGTTTTTCCTCCTTGTTACAGATAGAGTTCCTGTTCATGAGTGTGGTAGGAATCAACATGTGTTTTGTGGAGTTATGAAATTGCCGTATTGGAAACTTACTTTTTTGTTGTGGGTGTCAGGAACCTGACTCTGACCCAAGTCAGTCACCTTGGGTTAGTCTTACAAAGAAATCATACTTTTTTTTTTTTTTTTGAGACAGTTTCTCTGTGTGACCCTACCTGCCTTGGAACTCACTCTGTAGACCAGGCTGGCCTCAAACCTGGAGACCTAATCGCCTCCAGCGTACTGCTGAAATTGAAGACATGAGCCACCACTGAGGGGCATATGTATTTTTCTGAGAGTTGGTAACAGTTGAAGAGGGGGTCAAATTAAGTAAAATTATTTTCTCTCAAGGTTATGTGGTGGAAAAGGTAGGATTTGTAACTCTAGATCTGATTCTCTTGCCACTATTATACTGCTGTTTTAAAAAAAATACTTGAATGTGGGACTGTTTCCTGCTTTTTTTCATGGGCTGATTGGGGTTGTGTCTCAGGGTATACAATTTAACAACCAAGGTAACAAGTCAAAACACTTTTATATATTTAAATACTAGATTGTGAGTTACCTCTCCATCCTACCCCCTGCTGTGTTAATTCGACCATTTGAACTCTGTCCCTGTATATCCAGAAGGGATCAGACTGACACTTACTATCATTGGAGATAATGTATTGACTTGAAGAGTTTCATTTTATTTCATAAACTCCCCAAGGGTATTAAACTCCTTTGGGGAAACTACTCATAATGTTCTCACTTCTAAGTTTTTCTTTGCTAGTTTGACTTGGCTATAGGTTCTGGTATAAATGTCTATTTCATCTAGTCTTGTTCTCCTAAGGTTTCTACCAGATTTCATGGTAGCACACATTCCCCAAATACATTATTCAAGACGAGAGAAAGGCTGTAGAGATTGGATTGCATTTGAGTAGGTTCCACTCTGAATAGGCTAGCTAAGGAATGTTGAAGTTATAGAACTCTTTTGTTCCTAGTTAATGCTTGTTCTTTTTATTTATTTTTATTTTATGTGCTTTGGTGTTTTGCCCAAATGTATGTGTGAGGGTGTCAGATCTTGGAGTTAACAACAATTGTGAACTGCCATGTGTGTGCTAGGAATTGTAACCGGGTCCTCTGGGAGAACAGCCAGTGTTCTGAGTCATCATCTTTCCAGCCCCTATGCTTGTTCTTTCTTGGGGGGGATAAACAAGGTATTAATGGATGTGGGATTAATGGTTTCTAATGGAAGATTATGTATTTAGGACATTGCAACCTTCTTATGCTTCACTTCTGTCAAAGAGTTCTGGTTTTAAAGAGGGAGATTCAGTAGTTTCAGACTTGGTTAAAAAAAAATTGAGCCAAGTGTAGTGGTGCATTGGTTTAATCCCAGCACTCCAGAGGCAGAGGCAGTCAGACCTCTCTGCATTCAAGTTTCAGAATGGCCAGGGATACATAGAGAGACCCTGTCTCAAAAGAATTGAAAGTGGAAGACATTCCTTCAGTCATGACTGGTTCTGAGGCAGCCTTCTCTAGAGATAAATGCAGTGGTAGCCTAACCCAGGGATTTGGGGTCAAGCTAAGAGAGAGCTCTAGGACCTCAGGTCTCTTAATGATGTAGGCCCGCCCTCGATAAAACAGGAAACCTAGGATGTCTTGAAACTGAGCCGAGTATTTCCTAAAATAGCAAAAGCGTCAAGCTAATAACAAAGTTAACTTGAACAAACTCTACCATGGCCACCTATCAACTAGTTACTAGGCTGTCTCAAAACACCACATGGCCCTCTGGGGCAGGAGGAACAGTAAATGGTTAGAGGAAAGTTTTAACTAGGAATGGGATTTAATCTGGCTCCTTCAAATTTCAGTTTGTTTTCTTAGACTTCAAATTTCAGTTTGTTTTCTTAGACTTCTTCCATATCTGTTTAACTATTAAACCTTCATATTTATAAACAATTTATATGATCTATGTAAATCAGGCTTAAATAGAAGTCTACTAAAAGCAGACGTTGGTGAGCAGGAAGTGAGCTTGTCCTGTGCAGTGTGATATTCTAAGCACTTAGTTGTACTATCTCACTTAATGCTCAACCCCATGAAGAGCATTGTAGGTAACTGGTTTGTAAATGATGAAACTGAAGCACAGCGAAGTTTAGTGCTAGACACTTACTGTGGAAAGTGTTGGGTGCTAGGGATTGGTTAGAGCCACACCTACAGTGTCGCCATACTAAGGGTGGATGTCCAGAGGCTGAAAACTAGTCAAAAGTGACAATCCTGGCCTTCTCTTTAAGATTACATCATTTCTTGTGTGTAGAGGAGCATGTATATAGAGGTCAGAGGTCAGAGGACAGCATTTAGGATTTGGTTCTCTTACATGTGGACCCAGGGGATCAAACTCAGTTTGTCAGGTTTGGCAGCAAGCACATTTAATCAGTCATCAGCCCTGAGTTTTTCTATTACTTACCAGTTTGATCCCTAATGGAGCTGCAGGGAGAGCAGTCAACATAGTTGAAGTGATACAACAGGAGGGTAAAACAAAGTAATTCACAGTCTAGTATCTAAATGTTTCTCTAAATAGTGTTTCTTTGGCTTATTAATGTTGTTAGATTGTGTACATTGAGGCAACTCCTATAGTTTTCAACTGTGATACTTTGAGTAGATATAGAGGCTTTTGCATATCCCATTTGTACTGTATGTACTATGTGTTGAAATGAAAACATTTTTTTTCTCAGTGGTGCGGTAGGGCCTTTTACATGTTATGAAAGCATTCTTATCACCAAACTGTCTCCAGTGCTTGCAGGTGCAGAGTGCACGCATTTCCCACCCTACCCCCACCCCCACCCCCTCACCGCCACCACTTTGAAGGCGTGACCACTATTAGATAATAACCTTTTGTTTTAGGACAAGGGTAAGAAGGGTCCCTGGAACGGAAACGGATTTAACAAGACAGACTAGTCTTTATCCTGCCAAGCAAAAGGAGGTCATGGAAATAAACTGTGCAGTAAGCTTGGGAGTTTTTGTTGTGTGCATGTGTTTGTGTGTGTTTCAGTCCTGAGAATTGAATGTAGGACCTTGGTCATAGTCCTCAAGTGCTCTGTCGCTGAGCCATTCCCTCAGACTGGGGGTGGTCTTGTTTTTAGTTAAGTCTCAGCTATGAAAGACAGGGCACTGCCGAACACTACCCTGTTCAGCCATCCATGCTGGGATTAGTTATATTCTTCCTGGCTCTTGCTTTTTGTTTTGTAGTTTGGGGTGGCAGGCCAATCTTTGTAAATTCAAGGTCAGCCTGGTCTACAGAGCTAGTTTCAGGACAGGCCCCAAAGTTACACAGAGAAACCCTGTTTCAAAAAAAGAAGGAAAGAAAAATGGAAAAAGAAGAGAAAAATTGAACACATTGCCCAATACAGAAGAGAGTCTGGTGCCATATAAAACACTCTAATTTGGATTTTTATTTATTTATTGTATATACAGTCTTCTGTGTCTGCACGCCAGCAGAGGGCACCAGATCTCATTCAAGGTGGTTGTGAGCCATCGTGTGGTCGCTGGGAATTGAACTCA